TCTCTTCCGTGAAGAGGAAATCAGGAAAAGATGTTAGAAGTGGTGGGTTGGATATACACTGAGGAAATCACCAAACTGCATTTTCAGGCAAGCCCCAATCTGAAATCCGGAAGAGAAACAGGAAGGAGGAAGGCCGAATAACACATTACGCCGGGAAATAGAAGCATATATGAAAAAGGATGAATGTTAACTGAAAAGAACTGGAAAGGATTGCCCAGGACAGTGTTGGATACAGAAAGCTGAAGTGTGGCCTATGCTTTTCTACGAGGGGTAACAGGCGTAAGTAAGTAGTTAAGTAATATTTCAATTACTTGTAAAGCATTTTTTTAATTTTGACAATAATGCCTCGTCCAGATTCTCATCGTAAATTTTCCCGTAAGCTGCTATTATTTAGTTCAGGTATAAGTATCAATATTATTCACAAGTTGATTCAGAATCAATTGTATAAAAGAAACAATAAAAAAGGTTGTGGAAAAAACACTTGCTTAAAATCTAGTCAGTTAACTAGAAAATGTAAATCCTATGTTAAATAAATAGAAGGATGCCCCAAACAACAAAAGCTGGTTCTCATGGTGATTAAAGAAATTTAAACTTGAGTTGAGATTATGAACCGGTCAATCTTAGACCACCATTAAAAACCAGAAAATACTGGACTGTCGTTTTGTCCTAGTATGTAACTCCTCATCAGTGTACATCCACACTGTTCGGTTCATAATCTCAATTGGAACTCAACAATTTCTTCAATTTTATGTTGATAAAATACGAACTTTGTGAATTTATAAATGGAAGTACTACTGTAAAAAATAAAAATAATGTTGACTCTATACACCTTTAATTAGAAATTTGTGCGTTTTAGTTGACGAATATTTGGTTATACATGATATACAAACGGTTTTCATTAAACTATGACATGAAATATAACAGAAAAATTCGATATTTTCAGTATATATATGTTATAATTTCTCTTATTACGACCCAGCTATTCCTATGGCTTAGTATTCTTGGATACCAATTCACTCGACAAGTCCCCAAATCAGAACTTAGTTGAACAGGAACGAAATTATATTCCAAATAACAAGGGTAGATGGAAGTAGGAAACACAATAAGAGAAACGTTAGTATATTTATAATTTTTACATGAGAAGATTCTATAGTCATCTCCAAGTATTGGATATTTCTTATCCAATCAACGTACTCCAACATAATCCTTCATAGAACGTGGTTTAATCCAATCTATATTCCGCCATCAGTATCCAATTTATCTATTACTTAGTTAATTTAGCTTTGGTCTAATGTCTGGGAGGGGAATTTAGATGTGTAAGTGAGCATGATGTAAATCTACATAAAAAGTGAGGAATATTATTTAGTAACTTACTTTTTATATAGTTGAAATCATGAGTCAATTGATGCTAGACCACCATGGAAAACCTGGAAGCACTGGACATCCGTTTCGTCCTATTGTGGGACTCCTCAGTAGTGCGCATCCATGATCCCGCCTCACGAGATTCGAACCCAGGACCTACCAGTCTCGTGCGCGAGTGCTTAATCACTAGACCACTGAGCCGGCATCCAACGGTGTTAATGTCTAACTTTAACCAATCTACGAAGGTGAGCAACCATTCACCAATGTCTTCAGTGAGTTACTATCTCGGAACAGACCTGGTTGAACTCCACTGGTCACTGCTTGTCAATAGAACTTCAGGAAATACCTCATGGAGCCAGTCACTAGTGAGCATTACTGTTTAATTACGATAACAATAACTTTAATCATTATTTACAGATTTTATGTTAGATTGGGATCAAGTTTCATTCAGATTATTTTATACTAAGTTATCTCTTAGTGTTACTTGTAAAAACATGCTAAATTACAAGTATATTTTGAAATTTAAAACAAATTAAATCACTCAAGGTATTACAAAACATAGAAAGTCCGCTAACTTTTCAGAGATAATTTCTGCCTGAATAAAATACGCACAAATCATGATCGATCTCGTGAAGCACTGAACTAAAAACTTGTATTATGTCTACCATTGTTAACTTACTTTTTGGCCTTTTTAATGAACCATAAACAAGATTGATTCCAAACTTTAGTCAGCACAACCTAATGTTACTGTGAGTGAATTATATGTAAATCAAACAATACAAACCTGAAGTATGATGCCTCACAACATATAACTAACAAAGTCATTTATTTTTTAATAAAGGAATCATTTACTTTAGTGAAGAATATTTGACGTAATAAAATAGTTATCAATTAAGGGGTTTGTTTACTGGAAGACTGGAGGTTATTCTGCTTACCACGCTTACTTCCTCAAATCGTTTGTCGTGCACATGTTAGGTAAAGACTTTATTTAGTAAATAGTTAAATAGAGAACAAGTGACGGTCAATAGAACAGTTTTTTAACTTTATTGTTAAATAGCAAATATCATTGTACACGACATTTTGTATAAGACGATAGCTTATGTCACAGACTAAAATTGGCTACTGAACCGAAGTAGTAAACAGCGTTTTCGTCTTAAATTAAGGATCCTTAGGATTGTGCTCACATCGACCTCAAAGAAACTTCAAATCGTGTATTGTTTACAAAGTCATCAAACTAATAATTTGGAATCCGTCATCCAATCGGTTCAACTTAGGTGGACTTGTGGTATAGCTCTGTCATTATGAAATATTAGTGGTAGTTAACTGACTTACTTATTATTGTACTTTATTTTTTAAAAGGCAGAGTTTGTTTATAAAAAGTAAAAAAAATCTTCCATCTATGCTAGTTATAATTTTCTAATAACAGAAACATTTCGTCAATGGAGAAGAGAATAATTATTCAGAAAAAATCACAAATCTTTTCTTCAATTATACAAGTGAATTTAAATTTCGAAGTTAAAACTGTAATGGTCTTAAAAGTATCTCATGTGGTGAAAAAGTACTCAATTGATTATAGTACGAGTAATATGAAAATTAGACTTTTCCAATCGTCTGTGACGTACAATCACTTACTAAGTACGTTTTATTATATAACTTAGTCAACTAGTTAAATATATTGGTTATAGATGCCTAATTTTATGATATTGTAAGTAAGTGTTTACACCGTAAGTTACTGATTTATTGGTTTTCAATACTACAGAGTTCAGTTTATATAAAACTGTTACTTACTTACGCCTGTTACTCCCAACGAAGCATAGGCCGCCGACCAGCATTCTCCAACCCACCCTGTCCTGGGCTTTCATTTCTATTTTTATCCCACTTTTGTTCATTCTTCGCATGTCTATCTCCATTTCTCGACATGTGTTCCTTGGTCTTCCTCTTTTCAATTTGACCTTCAGGATTCCAAGTGAGGGCCTTCCTCGTGACGCAGTTAGATGATTTCCTCAATGTGTGTCCTATCATCTACCAGCACGTCTTCCTGAATTCTTCTTCCGTTGGAATCTGGTTTGTTGTCTCCCACAGTAGAATGTTTCTGATAGTTTCTGGCCAACAAATCCAAAGCATTTTGCGTAAACAACTGTTAATAAACACTTGTATCTTCTGGATGATTGCTTTAGTATTTCTCCAAGTTTCCGTCCCATACAGTAGAACTGTCTTGACATTTGTATTGAAAATTCTGATCTTGGTGTTAGTTGACAATCGTTTTGAGCTCCAGGTGTTTTCCAGTTGTAAATGTACTGATCTTGCCTTGCCGATCCGCATCTTCACATCTGCATCAGATCCACCGTGTTCATCGATGATGCTGCACAGATATGTAAAGGTTTTCACATCCTCAAAAGCTTCTCCATACAAAAACATAAAAATTAATGTAGTCATTTATAGTTTTGTTTATTTTAGAGATCAAATGAATCCTAATCCATAGTTTTGCTGTTCTTACTTGTATCATACAAGTCACGGTTACCAGTACCAACTACTAAGTCAGTTAAGTAGTTCGTTACTAGAACAGTATTGACTTAAATGTAGTGATTATTTTTCTATATGTTTACCAATATCGACTCAGTGAATGACCGAATCAAATAAAATGAAATGAATAAGAAAATTTCTGTTCCACTATTTTTTGCCCAGTTTGGAAAATAGCTAACAAAGCATGTAATCAACACTTTCTAAGTATACAATCAATCACATACATTTTTCTAATCGTATAAAATTCAAATTGTAATTTCTGCGCTGTTCGTATGTTTCTACAGAAAACTGTAGATAATATTCAATCTAGTTGATTTAGGTTAATTGAAGTGAGTATGTGAATAAAACATCTGAAATTTAATAAAAAATCCTTATAATAGAAGCTTCATTGTTGTTTAAACATATTGTGGTGTGGTCTACTTATATCCTCATAAGTAGTCTATGGCGATGGGCAGACATAGAATGTATTTCGACAGAAGACCGATAAGGAAAGAACTAAAATGAAGCGCAATTGGTAGGAAAATGCATGAACAATGAAATTAGAGAAGATGGATTGTTATTTACAGAAGGAACAGTTTAGATTGAGACAATTGATTGTCATTTTGCAAATTAACTGTTTGCTGTATGGTTATCAGATCTTAGTAAGATAGTCTGTTATTTGTGCTTCAATACATTCGATTATCCCCACTCGCTTTTTGTTTACTATAATGTTATTACTGAAATCAAGAGACAGACTGTTTTTAATGATCGATCAACTTCAAACGGATGATGTCATGAAATCTCTTTTTAAAGTTTCAACTTACAATATTGTTATATATGTATATATACATTATAAATAAATGTTTTCACCTCAACAAGCATTTCTTATAGTTGAAAGCGTGATTTAATTGAAGCTAGACCACCGTGGAAAACCTGGAAGCACTGGACTGCCAACTCGTCCTACTATGGGACTCCTCATCAGTGGGCATCCACGACCTCGCCTCGCGATATTCGAACCCTGGACCTACCAGTCTCGCGCCAGAGCACTTAGTCGATAGACCAGTGAGCCAGCATCCGATGGTGTTTATGTCTAACTAGATTTCATATCCTGACTGATTTATAATATTTAAAGACATATAAATTTAATATTTATTCATCAAAAGTGCTACAAAATATTCTTGAAATAATTGTACTTGAAGTTATTTATTGTCTAATAGCGAATACCTCAATATTCATATAACAAGGATGTAAACATATTGAAAAATTTCCAATAATAGAACACAACTATAATAAATAAATAATTTTTTGGTATATTTATAGGAGCTAAGGACAAATGAAAAAGAAAAAAATTCAGATAATAAGTTAATCACTAGGTAGAAGAATTTTTTTAAAAATTTTTCACTGTTGACAAAAGGATGATAATTATGATTGATCTTAATTTAGTTGTTATGATTATTAATAAATTTATATGACTTATATTATTCCACAAGTTTCCATGAGTACTTCATATTTCTAAGCTATACTTATATATATGAATTATTATTTAATGTTTTATTCGAACATTCAATTATCAATGATAATTACTTCAAATGATCAAAATAAATATGGCTAGAGTTAATTTAAAATTTTGATCATACATAGTTAATGACAATTATTATTATTATTACTACTATTATTATTATCAGTAGTAGTAAATAATGAAAAAGAAGAACACAATGATAACAATAAGCTAATATAATGATATCAGCTAATTTGTTTAAAGAAAGTAGTAACACATTTATTCAAGAAATCAAATAACGTAATAATTCGTTTATACATATAAAGTTATTTTGAATAAGATTCGACTAAAGAATTCTTTGATAAGATTTCATTGCATTGTTTAAAAGGTTTATATATATATATACTATTTCTGACAAACAAAGTTCCCCCATATCAATGAAAACATATAAGCATATATTTTGTGTAAATGGCTTATTTTCCTTTTATTATTATTATTAGTAGTAGTAGTAGAAGTAGTAGTATGAATAAAATTTTCAAAATAAATGTTTCTATATTTCTTCAAATTTAAGCACAATAAAAACAACAACTTACATTGTTCTTATTACTACAAGCGTTATAATGATTATAATAGATATATATGAAAGACAAAAATAACAATGTTTTATTATTTCTTTTCAATAGTAAATTAACGTTTTCCTTCATTTTTTCTTTTTTCCTTTTTTTCTTTCTTTCTTTTTTCTTTCTTTTTTTTCTTTTTGTTTCCTCTTAAAAGTTTTAAATATAACGTAGAGAAAATGATTTATCAGCTGTACTAACATTTTTCTTATATCCACTATCAATGATTTGATGTTTATTATCAGTTTCATTAATATAATTATTATAATCATTAAAATTATTTATATTTTCTGGTCGTTTATAATGTGCAATAAATATATAAATATCACCATTATCAACAATACGATTACCTTGATCAGGATTTGTTGAAACATAACGAAAATCTACAGCTGATAAATCGTTAACATTAATATTTTCAGTTAATTTTGCAAATGTTTTATCTTTTTCTTTTAATTCATTAAATTTTATCTTTAAACTATCTTTATCATCGTCATCATCATTATCATCACTATTATCTTGAACCACTTTCTGATTATTAGGCTGTAATGATGTTGATGTTACTTTCATACAATCCACTGTTTCAATATTTGCTATTGATTCATAACATGGTCCAAATTCACATTTAATCACTTCAGGTTCATATAAATTTTCATGATTTTCATTATGATCATGTATAATTACATCATCTTTATCAATAGATTGTTCTTGAATAGTATCATCTAGATTTTGTTCAATCTCTAATGAATGATTATCATTTTTTAGTAAATTATTATGACTAGTATTAGTTATATTATCATTAATTGTTTGTTGTAAATTATCAATAGATACTTCATTAGTTTGATTTATAGTTTCCTGAATAGAAGTATTATTTTGTGAAAGTTGTTCATTAGATATATTCAAACTAGAATGTGATGAATATACACCTGGTGTTGGTAAAGTTGTATCATCTTCATTTAGTATATAATCAGAATGACTTCTAGCTTTATTAATAAGTGTAGTAATATCTTTATAATGGGATTCAGGTAATTTAAAAAAATCATAATAACGACTATGTTGTTCAGGATCAACACAGCCTAATATAAGTATTGTAGGATCATTATCAAATACATAATATCGTTCAATATCTTTATATGGATAAAATTTTCTTGGAGGTGGTGGACCAAATTTTGAAGCACGTTTTAATCTTATTCCATCTGGTTCACATCGTAGTTTACTATGTGCCAATGATTTACGTGATTTAAGTGATAATAATAATGTATGTACTTGATTATGATTGAATTCTTCACCATAGGTGATTAATTTCCGTGCTATTAAATCTGTAGTCGATTCAAAATAACGTAGTCGTTTACGACGTCCGCATGATTTGATTTTATTTGTAGACGGCATTCCATAAAATAAGTTATGGTTTAAATCGAATTAGTTTTGTACAACAGGAATATTGATGCAAAAATCTATCAAGAGAGAAAGAGAATGAAGAGAACACACTTTTGTGATATCTTTTCACTGTGGTCTAGTTTAAAACATGAATCTTTATTTCAAAAACAGATGAGATATATCAGTGAAGAATTGTTTACTTTGTATTATCTATTTATTTAATAACTCTCTACAGATGATACATCAGCTGTGACCACATCATTATTTTCATTGAATAGCTAATTATATACTATACTAACATTAGTTTATTGAGAACGAATCAGGACAGATGAAATAAGATAATTGGTTGTTTTCGTGAAACAAAAAAATAAAACGGTTACACATTACACTTTGTGTTACCAAGGCATGAATAACCAATAGAAATAAAATCTAATAAGTACTGATTCAGAAACTGAATCAAATTACAACACTGAGTTTTAATCACTAAATTCGTAAATTTTCATTATAGTTTCTCAATTTATCTTTTTTTGTTTTTTCATTAAAACAAAATCAATATCTTCTGTGTACTTCATTGTTATTTTTTTTTGTTTTTTTGTAATCACCGTAGAGTAAAACTTTTAAAAAGTTTATTTCATTGAATGGTTAGAGTGCAAACTCTTAACCAATGAAAATGAAATCAATGAAAGTGTGTGAGAAATAGAAAATATCCGATTTGAAAAACAAAAAGTCTATCTTATAAAAGTGAATATTTTTTTATTCTATTTCGTATTTTAAGAGAGATTACATTTTCATGAATGTATTTCGTCGTTATGTATATTGACAAAAGTTTTATAATGAGATAAACATGACTTCATGAACACCGCAATTGATAGAAATTAATTATATCATGTTACTAACAGTTTGATTCAGAGGAAAACAGGTGTAACGAATTGAATTTTTTGTGAAATTACATTATCTTGTTTCAACTTATATTAAATTTTAGATCAGAAGGGGTTTTGTGGATATTTCAGTATTTTCATAGTTGAAATCATGAGTCAATCGAAGCTAGATTACCATGGAAAATCTGGAAGTACTGGACGGCCGTTTCATCCTATTGTTGGACTCCTCAGCAGTGCGCATCCACGATCCCGCATTCGTGAGATTAGAAGTTGGTTGAGGTTAGACATTAACACCGTTGGATGCCGGCCAGTTCAGTGGTCTATTGATTAAGTGATCTGGCGTGAGACTAGTGGGTCCTGGTTTCGAATCTCGTGAGTGCGGGATCGTGGATGCGCACTGCTGAGGAGTCCCGTAATAGGACGAAAAGCTCGTCCAGTGCTTCCAGATTTTCCATGATGGTCTAGCTTCAATTCACACATGATTTCAATTACATTAAATTTGTGTATGAAATATGAACTGTAGTGAATTATACTTCGAATTTATATTGGATACTGATTAACTGTGAAATCCAAAATGAGAGTTTCATTTTATTTGTGATTTTCAGATGGATGCACTTAAACTGTTGTGTTAAGTTTTACGTACGGACTCGAACCCAAGGCCTTTCGCCTTAAAACTTCAATATATTATTTTTAACCACTGAGTTTAGGGAGCCACTACCTTGTGAAGTGTGAAAGAGTCTTAAATTAGACAAAGCCGATGTTATGGATTTTACTAATAACAATTATCTAATTACTCTTTGAAACGCTTGTGAATAAATGCTAATATCGAATATAGGAATTTGAAGTCCTTGACGTCAAAAATAGGATACTGCTATTCCTATATAGATGAATGAACTTTTGGAATGTTTTATGAAAATTAAATTTTCACAGACTAGAGAAGTAATATATAGATCTCTATCTTATTTGAGCGATTTGTGAAGAAAATGAATGGCAGTGAATCTGCTTAATACGGTACTTTTTCAGAGTTATGCATGGTAATCATCTATTAGGTTATTAGTTACCTATAGTTACCTATAAACATAAAAACAGTTGGGAGTTAAACAAATAGGAAAAAGCAGTTATTCAACACCCTATGGTTGTCACTAGTTCTCTTTATGATGGCATCTTGGTTTAAAAAGTGAATAAGAACTTTTTCCTCAATATTTTTTAATTGAAATTCTCATTTGCACACTTTACAGATAGGCTAATTTCATTTACTTAACATTTATCCCACGAAACGTAAGTGAATAGTATGTGCTTGGCGATCTTTTGACAAATGCACAGATGAACATTTATTGATATCTATTTACCGTTGAGTTATATAAAAATTTAAACTAAAAACCAATTAATGATAATTCAAAGTAAAACTGGCATACGTTCATCTTAAATTTCAAGTATTAGAATCCAATAAACATAATAAAATCCACTGCTAAGGTAATCAACAGTCATTGAACATGTCTAATGGTTTTTAGTCGCTGGTCGGTTGATGTCAGTTCGTGATAAAAGTAATATTGATATCATACTGTCTAAAAGAACGTAGATTTCGATCCTCTTTAAATTTTGATAAGACTTTGATTTTATGAATAACTTACATAACCTTTGATATGACCTTTCTCATGTATTTCGACCACTAAAGTCACTAAAGTAAATGTTAAAAAAAACATTTAAAACACATTTATATATGACGTTACATCACGTAGCAAATTATTTAATGGATGATATCAAAGGATATGATCCTACATTACATTTAAAACACCAAATTAATATTTTGAAATTACAGAACAAGCATCTTTTGACCTTCAAATAGTTTCTAAGTCTCAAACTTTGTTAAAACTCCAATTAATATGTACAAATCTGACAGATAAAGTAATTTAATATGAAGTAGATAAAGCTGAATAAATTGAAAGAATAATATGATTTAAGTAAATATAAGTAGCGATTAGTAGTAGAATTTTGAACCAGTTTTTTGTTCTCTTCCAGACATTTTATCTGGATGTATCTATACTCTGCTGTTGATACCCACCCCGGGACTCGGACCTAGTACCTTTCTCTTCAAATCCTCAAGTGAACATTAACAATGGAATGCATCGTACATATAGTTGATGAATCCTTCATAGGACGTAAGATTCGTTGTAGATTCCACTGCTAGCTACTATCAATGTAAACTTAAGTACTTGTGACTTCATGAAAACATTGAGGCAATCAGTTCAGGATGTATGTATGCAAAGACTGGTTAAAGGTCAACAGTGGGAAGATTTAAACGATTATATATAAGTAATAATAATGTGGTCTGCAAAAAATTCGAATAAACACTGTAATAAAAAAGTACAGTAGAAAAACAATAATAAAGTTTTGAGTACATTGGACTTGAACACTGAAATGTTATTCCATTTCAGTGTTACTACGTTCATACTATATTATACTATTGACAAAGTGATACTAAGTTTTCAGCCTACAATTACAAAGTTCAGTTTGAAATATATTTAATGATATCTAATGCTTATATTGTTTATGTTGTCTAAGATGTATAAGATGCTCAGCTTGATATATATAGTGTTAGAATAGGTTACCTATCGAATGATGAATATATTCTTGATTTTCCACATGCGTAACAAAATGTATGTACATATACATGTATTTTCTTATCGTGTTGCATGAACTATGGTAAATATAAAAAATATTTAAATCACTTTGAAATATATAATACGTCAAATAATATATCGTACCACTCTATAAGAATGTAGAGATGCAATACTGGTAGTATGTGGTAAACATAGCAAGAACTATAGAATTTACAGAATAAAGTGATTTTTGATGTTGAAGCTAGACCACCATGGAAAACCTGGAAGCACTGGACTGCCAACTCGTCCTATTATGGGACTCCTCAGCAGTGGGCATCCACGACCTCGCCTCGCGAAATTCGAACACAGGACCTACCAGTCTCGCGCCAGAGCACTTAACCGATAGACCACTGAGCCAGCATCCCATATTGTCTATGTCTAACTTCAACCAATCCACGAAGTTGAGCAACCGTTCACCAATTGTTTAGTTGATAGTCTTTACAGAATACGGTTTGTAAAACTTTAGTTAATGTAGTAGATATGACGTTTTGAAATCGAATAAAGAATACAGAGAGTATAATACATATAGAGTAAGATTGTACGATAAGACTGAGATTATTATTTGGATATATAAATATACATATGGAAAATCTAATCATACAACAAGAGAAAAACAGAGATAATAATTGTAATAACGATATCAGTATATTACCACATAAATAAATAATACAAGATAAAATTAACTCAAATAAAGGGAAAATCAAGGAATCAATAAGTACAAGATTAGCTAGGAATGCTCCTTTCATCAGGAAGCAAAAACATTTCCTTCTCCATAAACAGCTTTGGCTTCACAAGCATTATAAGCAAAGATGGGTAGTGAATAGCAGTGGAATCCAGGACTCGTGTTTCATCCTATTTGGGACTCGTCAGCTGGATGTACATGCATTTCAGAGTTAATGTTCACTCTGAGACTCGAACCCAGGACCTTTTGCTTCAAACGTCATCACGTTATCCACTCAGCTATTGAATCCTGATAGCCACTTGCTTGTGCAATTGGGTGAAGTTTAAATTCACTTAGTATTGTTTGTTTGTATCTTCCCACTGATGTTTTAGGACTGCAATTGATCAGTCTCTTGTTGGCCATATGTGCTTCAGTTATTTAATAATAACAGAGTATGATTAAATAAGTAAACGTAGTTGTCTTAGCTACTATAAAGACTGGAAATTGAAGTGAATTAATTATAATTTGAAAATGTTATATTCGTTATTTTTATTCGATTCAGGATTTTCAGGAGCATCGTATTAATGATGGATATTTCTCATCTGAATGGCAATAAGCTCAGAATGAAACTCTTTTTGTTTAAAAAAAAAATCTGATCAGGTATCGCTGAAACAATAAAAAAAATCTCATTATGAAATTACTATTTCTCTGTTTTACATCATTATATTTACTGAATTGTTATATGTTCACAGGATCGGAACCCAATCAATCAGAATTATTGATTAACAATAATTAATCTTCTGTTTATAAATAAATCTTGTTTAATGATTTAGTTTCTCAAGTGAAATGAAAATGTTATTCAATCAATTTGTAAGATAACAATTTAGCTATACTATTATCTTAAATTCATTTAATAATATGAACTTGAGAATTTCACCCTAATCCATTTGGAATAATAGTAGGTATAAACGATGTATTATTTAAATACCTCAGAATGTATCTCTCTTTAATTTAGTTTACAAAAACACTTTGGTAAAAAATCTATTCAGTAAAGTATTAACCATCTATCATAA